ATCAATTGATTTATCAGGTATGGTTTTAGCCTATTGTTGTCGATTGTTCGGCATATCGATGGTATCGTATAATGTATTGTAACACAATACGAAATGACGAAATGATTGAATCACTTACTAAACAGCTGCTTATTTGCATAAGCAGAATTGAAAACAAGCTGGAAGTCGTTATGAGAGGTTATCTTAACACAAAAATTATTTCGTTTTCTAGCTTTGTTTATTGAGTAATGATGCAATATGACAAAAATATAGTTCACCATACGGGTGAAAAGTGACTTTTTAACCCTCGCTTATTTCCCAACCTTGGCTTCCCTTCGATCGTAAAACTTGACCTCGGGTCAAAAAGGGTCACTTTAGGCCCTAGTGAAGAAATATACTACTGTTAGTTATAACGTGTAGGCTCCAAGGACTCTAAGAGACGGCATTTTTAATTTAATGTATATTTTACCATGACTATAGAGACAAATCTATACACTAGAAATACCAATATTTCTATAACAAAGACCTTGCCAATATGTTATGAATGTTCTTGGAGGCGGTTTAGATTGTCCGTTTGACTTATAGGGATGTCAGGAGAAGTGTTACACCTTCCTGCTGTTGATTAAACATCTGGAACTACAATCCCCTACAGTAGGGGTCTGTGCCAAAACCTTACAGAATAAATATAGGCTACAACTATATACATTATACGCTACGTGCGAACGTTCTAAACATTGGGGTTGATGATATACGCTTTTTAACGCTAGTAGGTTTATGGATGTGCAAGTTGGCTTTATGTTTTTATTTAAATAAAATTAAAAGTTTTTTATCTAGATGTTAGGGTCCGTGTCCCTTTCATAACCTGGCCCTGAGGCTGAGAATACGAAAACGGGTAAAAATATTTCTAAATGGGTTAGGTTTTATTCGTAAAAATATAAATAAATATGAAAATTTAAAATTAAAAATTATTTTAGTCGTTATTGTCATCACACTTTGGTCATTGTCATCAGTTACTGTAAAAAACATGGTTTATTCAATATCAGATTTAAATGGGCGCAAATTGTTCTTTGAGGAATGTTTTCCTTTTTGTTTTTGTGTTCTTTTGGCTATTGGTATATTATGGGTAATTGAGTATAGTATATCAACCACATGTTCCATAATTATTCAATATCCTATGTTGGCAATAAGGAAATATCTATCATATGTTATTATTAATAATTAGTACATTTTGTATCAATCAATTATGAATTGTAAAACAATTTTTTTCAAACGAAGCAAACTTTTTCAATTATTAAACTCAACAAAATACGCGTGCACACGCAAAGGCACGACATTGACTTTTCTTAATACATTTAAATTGATGAAATCTTATTTATATTTCAAGAATATAATATACAAAATCTTCCAACTTCTTAAATATTACCAAAAACTTGTATAAGACGGTAAATTTACAAAATCCATTCACACCAGTCATCTTCAAATTGAATCAGAAATATGTCAAAATATCTCTGGTAAGTAATCAATAAGCAAATAACTTATGATTGTATACCATTTGAACTCTTTAGTCTGTAATAAGATTAGTTGAATTTCGAATCATTACAATTTTGCTTCTCCTCTCTCAATCCTTGAACCTCATTGGTCCGTTACCCGTGTTGTTATAAGTAAAACTATGCTGTTATGAGATACTTTTCAGTTCTAAGGAATGTACTGAAACGGCTACTTTAAAAAACGGTCGTAGGTAAAACAAATTTAACAGCTGATGTATCTTCGATATCAATAACAACCTTTATTGATGTATGTGAACCTTAAGACACCAAAACATTATGAAGTTATTCAACGTCTGTGGAGCAGTCTTGATGATTTGGTTGGAATAACTGCGCCAGTTTCGTCTGCCCAAGGGTGAATCCTCCCCCAAACTCCGCCATCTTCGGAGGCCATTTTTTGCATAGTTGAAGCCCAGAGTGCCAACATTCCAACGACGTGCCAGCTTTGACAAGAAAGAGCCTGCAGCGAAACACGGAGGTATGAATTGTTTTACCTTAAACTCTTGACTAAGTAAAATTTATATTTTATTTATTTTGTGGTATAAACGCCATTAAAATATTTTCTACTGTCAAAAACCATTTAAATGGTCCATATATTACAGATATCTGGTTGGCTTCAGATAGTTGAAATAAAGTAGTGATTTAATGAAAATATTCGTAGCAATTTAATTTATTTTAAGTGATTTATTTGGTAATCAATGTTCCAAATAACTACATGTTCGCTCATAGAAACGCCAAGTAAATATTTTTTGCTAATAGAACCCCAAGAAAATATATGTCATTGTCACACTACAGTACTAGTATGTTGAAGATGGTGATCAATTTCGATTGGACACTTCAATCATCAGAACCAACAGAACTCAAAAATTAGTAAAAACACATTCTCGTTAACAGGGGACCTTTTCATTTAACACTACTAGTGGTCGTCCAGTGGCCGAAAACTCGACCAAAAATATGCAATATGACATCTCTAATTTTATCCAACGCTGTAAGTAAAACATGTGATTGGAATTTCTTCCATTTGTTTTGATTTTCTGTTTATATTTTGTTGTTATTTCGTCACCAGCATGGCAACCCATGAGGCCAATGTTAATTATTAAATTCATTTTTGTGCTTATTGTTGAGCCTATTTTAATTAATAAAGGGATTATGCACATCTACAGGAAAATATCTTTCTAACAGTACGCGTATATTTTCCCTGTGATGCACACGAGCTGAGAAAAAAGGTTTTACAGAAACATGCTCGCCTATTATACAGTATAGATATTATATGTCGTATTCATTAAGTATATTTACATAAAACACTGAGCAAATAATTGTGAGAAAGCTAGTCATTTGAAGGTACTTTAGAAAAAACATTTGTCATTACTGGTTATAGAACTAACGTAGTTTATGATCGCTGGTATCTCTGGTGAATAAATAAACCAGGGATCTTAAGACATAAAACACGATGGATCTCCAACATAAACAAAATTACGTCACTGGCACGAAAGAAAATATGTTTATTTTCCTGTTGAAATGGAACCTTTGACTGTATGGAGTTAAAAATTTACAAACCAGATGATACAATGATAAGTATATGTGACAAAATATATGCTGGGTATACCTTATTTTATTTTAATATTTATTTTGCAACAGCTGTTGATTTATAGCATTTATTCTGAGTCGGTTTATTGTTAAAACGTTTTTATGATGTACAAAATTTTGTTATTCGCTTGTCTGGTTTGGAAATATTTTAACTCCATACAGTCAAAGTTTCCATTTCAACAATAAATTGTGTTCCATAAATGTTTTTTTATTGAGCTTCTCGAAAGTGTAAGATGAATAGCATTCAACAATGTATCGCGAACAAATCAAATTTAAATATTATTAGGTACTTATACTTGAAACTGTATTGATAGGTATTACGTATAGTAATCTTGAATACGTCAAACATATTCGTAGAACATTTCAGCTATCTCGGTGAAGTAATTTTTCATTGAACATCTGTCACAGGACACTTATTTTCATAACACATTAGATACTTTAACATGTGAATAAATTTTTGTAAGTTTTATTCAATTGCGAGACGAAGTCTGAGGGGTGCATTGGAGTCGTAAGGGGAGGGGAGGGGGGGAGTATCAAAGTACCTTGTGATAAGCTTAAGATCACCCTCAGCTTCTGGTATCAGCTTCTGCACGGTAATCATCATCATCCATCATATTACATTTGTATTACATTTAAACGAACACTATCTAGCACTGACCTAATTAGCTAATCGTCATGTTTGGGTGTAGTGCTGTTGAACTAGTGAGTACACATACTGATTAAAAAAATTCTCATTAGAGTAACATATGGTTGCTCAAAACCCATGGGATTTTTCGTATGTTTCTTTTATTGGAGATAGTTTTTATGTTAACAAGTTATTATCTTCAAGAATATGTATCACTTATAATATGGTGATGTACACGTAAATTGAGCTGAATATTACGCAAGAAGTGTATAACTGAGTGAAATGATCTGTGTAGTGAGTACTTTTGTTGCTGACTATGATCAGCTGTTACTTTAGCTTTTTTTCATGTATTAAAAGCCCAATGATCAGGAACAGCTGGGTCTAGCTTTGAAAATACAATAACAAAATTACTGGCATACATTTATATTTGAAAAATCCAAAACATTGACAAGTAATGTGTTTTGATTACTTCATCAAAATGTTTTTTATTAAAATCCTCACTTACATTAAGTTAGTTGATTCATTTAAAATTTTTATTTTATAGCTTAGTAGTGTGTTTTCAAAATATTTTTTCATATTCACTTATTCTTTATGTGCCATACTTTTTGTTCATAACAGAGCAATTTCGTAAATATTTCTTTAAAAATATTTTATTTTTCAATTAGTAATTTTATTGTACTTAAATTCTATTAAAATCCACTATTTCAATCCTAATTTTTAAATAATTATATCACAAAACCTCTCATATATCCAAGATTATCCCAACCCACTTCGAAACAAAGAACCCTTTTGGCTTCAGCTTGTTACGAGTAACATTTTTTTTACATTTATTCACTAATTTTAAAATAATTAAACGCTTAGACACTCTATTAGTACAACTCTAATTTTCTGAACAAAAAACAAAATATTACCCCCCAAAAACTAAATAGAAGGTACAAAATATATTTTTTATTTACCTAAAACTCTAATACCTACTCCAACCTAACACTCCTAAATTTCAACCGATACCAAAACACCTAAAAAATCAGCTGTCATTTACGTGCTGATCCCTCATCCGACCATTGAGAAGAAAGCCACTCGGGCAATTAGCAATGTAGGAGCAAGCGGCGAGCGGAGCGGCGCGGCGAGGTGCGATGGGTAGGGCGGCGGCTGCGCGTTGTTACAGTCAATATGACCAGGGGCCCAGGCCCACACTCCCGGTATGTGAGTGAGTGAGTGAACGACTGGAACGATGGGAACCGGTGATTCTGGGAGCACAATATGAACACATCTGCACTCGCGGCTCTAATGCTGCTTTTGTACGGTACCATCTTCCCCGGTGAGTGATAGTGTAAACCCTGTGGAGATAGTGAGTGTGTTCTTTGTCAGTGATCGATTAGTAAGGAGTAGGCCTAGTGGTTTAAATTTGTTATTGGTAAATTAAAAATAAAATACTATATTTTTGTATTAAATAAAGTATACAGTACATAAAACAAATGGTGTATACCACATTAAAATTAGCACCAACCCCACCTTTGATGTATTACGACACTGACTCCTCAAACTTCTCAAAAACACAACAAAAACATTTTAATTCACCATTTGACCCTTAATCGTTACCTAGTGACTGTTAAAACCCCCTTTGAACTAGTGAAACAAAGCTTAGGATGCGTAACCCCACCCAACGCCCGGTCGTTACTGAACCCTGCCCTTAAATGTAGCTCAGCTGATCCTTTGTCGGTATAAAACATTGTTGTGTTGATAATGAGAGTTTGTGTGTAATAGATGAGATATGATCAGACGACAAAGGGGTATAAAGAATGGAACGGTCCAAGTGATCCACCCTAGCGCGGAACGTCGAGTAGCAGTGTGTACTTTGTGAAATAATTGATTCCAGCCTTGGATTTGACGGGGAGGGTTGAAATTGTGGAAATATTTAGTCGTGAGGTATACTGTGGAATGTAAATGGTATTGCTAGTAAACAATTAAATATTTGATTCTCTTAACATTCAGTTATAAACCACACAATGATACGACGTGCTAAAAGATCTGATGTATTTTGAAACTGTACCCAGTCCAAAAGGTGTAATGTATTAAAAGAAATATTCCACATGAAAACACAATAAAACATAAAAATATGTGAACACTTTTAAAATGTTGATTTTAAATGTTTTCACTAAAAGACCCATTACCTATTGATAAATATATTAATATAAATAACTAATCAAAATAACCAATGCAATAACAGTGTTTAGTAATTTTAAAAATATTATTATGTTGATGTATATAATTACTCTAAATCAAATAGAAACTACTCAACCTAAAGAACCTCAACAATTTCCTAAAGTATGCCAATATTTAATTTTGTTAAATATACTTTATGAACTTGTACTAAAAAAGCAAACATTTTTCCTGTTAATATTTGTTATTTTCCTTTTTTTCGTACAACTACAAAGTTTTTCATACAATTCCTTTTAAGAATGGATTTCAGTTGGAAAATTTCGATGTTGTGACAATGACAATTGTAATTTTAGAAAGGACAGTGATGCCATGTGTTTTCATAAACATTCAACAATGAATGGCATAATAACCCTCTGCCCTCCCCCTCTAACCCCCCACCACCCCTTCAATGCTCATACGTCATCATAGATTGCTATTGAAACTTCAAACACCACCAAACTGTTAACTCCCTTCCATCCCCATTAGTGTGTGATAGGAATTAATTCAACTCATCCATCGATTATTATGCATTAATCATAATTGTTTTATAATATACACCGGTAACCTTTGTTTCCCAACTATTTATCCGAGTTGTTAGTCTCGATTATCAACTAGCCTAGGTTGAACAATTATTTTTAACCTAAAAGTAAAAATTTTTAATATATTTAATTTTTTAGGCTATGTTTATTTTGAGAAATTTTTAAGAAAATTTAAAAGGCTTTAAAACTGTTTTTAATTTGAATAATGTTTTATTAATAGTGTTCAGTATTGTTTAACTAACTACTAGAGGTCGTCAAGTGGTCAAAAGCTCAGCCAAAAATATGTAATATACAGCCTTCTCTATTTTCACCCCACGCTGTAAATAAAACATGTGATTGGAATTTCTTCCATATGTTATGATTTTCTGTTTATATTTCGTCACCAACCCATAAGGCCTATGTTAATTTTTTTAATTTTAAATTCGTTTTTGTGTTTATTTTTTAGCCTATTTTAATTTACAAAGGGATTCTGCACATCTACAGACAAATATCTTTCTAACACTATCCGTGGATTTTCCCTACAATGCACAGGAGCTGAGAAAAAAGGTTTTCAAGAAACATGCTTGCCTATTAATATATAAATTTACAGTGGCCAACATTTACAATTACTTATATAAATTAATAATACACTCATAAAACTTAACATGCAACACCATTTACATACATAGTGCGTTGTATGTCACTATGTAATAGTCTTAGAATCGTGTTAGATTCGGAAATATGAGGTTTAATCAAAGAAAATCCAGCATAGCTACATGGAAATTCATCATAATCCAGCTCGGTGACGTATATTGAAATAAACTGTTTATAAATTAGACTATAAATATTTGTTTGAATTCATAATTCATAAAAGCTAAAGTTTATATTTGATCAAAACAAAAAAATATTCTTCCAATTTTGTTTTAAAATGAAATGACAAACATGATGGCATTTTGGGGATCTATACCTTGTTGTGAACAAATATCAGGCAGTTTATCTGACAAAACACTGATTTTATACCAAAGCTGTGACTTTCCAGACCATATCATGTTACAAAATATCACTCAACGTGGCAGACCATATATTTGACACAAGATAGTATGTAACCGCACACGTTTTGTGTATCACCTCACACATTTGTGATTTCATGTTACACAAAAACACACAATATACACAATATCGTGTTTATACACAAGTTTTGACTTTTATCTGCTGCATTGTCAAATCGTCTTACAACAAAATATCAGTCATTTTTACAACTAATTTGACATGTAGTAGTTTGTATACAAACAATCTGTAACCTTCCACCTCCACATCCATACTGACTCCATTCTTCTTCTTCTTTCCATACTGACATATCGTGTCACAACGAAATACTATTGTACCTTTATGGAACAATTGTAGGATTTTTGTATTAAAAAGGAACATGTTTAAATAAGCCAGAATTTTCTACTGTCAAAATAAAATTTTCTAAGTTAACAATCGATACTATAAGAGGCCAAATGAAAAGGTTTTATTCACAATACATCAACTTTTTGACGTGGACCGTTTAAAAAATCATTGGTCATAAAACCAGTAGACCCTTTTAGGAGCTTTTGAACTATAATTTTTATTCTATAATTGGTGACCTTAACCTAAAAGCACAAAAGATACGTCAAATAACACTTATAATAATACCTTAACACAATTGATTATCTAGTTCAATAGGTCCTACAACTAATGTGAACCACACTACACATTTTTTTACACAAAAACATAGTTTTAACAAATCCAACCTTCCACTCGCTGTATTATAACGTGCTTCACAGTGTAGAATTGACAGAGTTGGTGGGCCGCACACAACATCGTCGGGCCTGAATTGTTGAAAGCCCCCGGGGCTCTACATTGTCTCCCATGCTTACATATTGATGGCAGATAGTCGGCCCTACTCCCTACAATAATACTACATGACTCCGTTATATTACTTAGGCGTTGTGCCAAGCTATGTGACTTAAAAAGTGTGTGTCAATTTTAGAACGTTTCTGTGTGACTCAATAAATTTCACTATGTGACTTAGTTTAAATTTCTATAATACTTATGTGAAAAAATATTAGGTAGCTGTTATAAGTTATTTGCATGGTAAACACCAAAGATTAACTAATCTGTGGAACTCAATTTTAACACATTTTTCTATGACTCACTAATAAATTTCATGATGTGACCCAGTTTCAATTTCTATAAAAATCCAATCTGACAACATATTAGCTTTAATAACCTTTCTGCATGATGCACACCAAAGATTTTACTATGTGACTTGAAAACCATGAGGCTCAAATTTGGCAGACTTTTTTGCATGACTCACTAATAAATTTCACGATGTCACCATGTGACCCAGTTTCAATTTCTAAAATACTCAACATCCCTATGTGACAAAACATTAGCTGGTATAGATTTTCTGCATGGTGTACACCATAGATTTTACCGTGCGACTTAAAAATGGTGGGACATAATTTTAGCACACTTTTGTATGACTCCAAGCAGCAAGCAATTTAATGATGCTATCTAGAAAACAATAATTGGCATTAGGTAGTAATAATACCAAGCTTCGGACAGCCCCAATTTTTTTTCGTCATCAATTTTTACATTTCTGTTACAAACACAACTTGAAATATCGTGTTGTTAGCGGCGATTCCATAATGTACTAAATAAGTTGAGGTTAGCAAACCGAAAATTTTACCATATATTTTTTTCTGTTCCTTATTTGAAGTTATCTGAAAACGTTAATTTTGCAAACGATTTAAAGAAATAAAAATGGCTGTTTTTTCGGACAGTATGATGAATGACATTTTACATAATAACATGAGTTAACATAATAACAAGTTGAACACATGTTAGGATTAAAATCTATGTATTAATTGGTCAAGCATGTTTCTGTAAAGCCTATTTTCTCAGCTTTTATGCATCACAGGGAAAATCTACGCATACTGTAATGTTTCTTGTAGATGTGTAAAATTCCTTTATAAATTAAAATAGGCTCAAAAATAAGCACGAAAATGAATTTGAAGTCAAACAAACATTAACATGGGTCTTATGGGTTGCCATGCTGGTGACAAAATAACAACAAAATATAAACTGAAAATCAAAAAAATGGAAGAAATTCCAATCACATGTTTTATTTACAGCGGTAAAAATAGAGAATCCTCTACATTACATATTTTGGTCGAGTTTTCGACCACTGGACGACCTCAAGTGTAAATAAAAACATATGCTGACAAATTGCAAAATACAGAAAACTAGTCACTAGAGAACCATGTTTATATTGTAAAATGTTTTTCTCTTGACCTAAGAAACAATTTTGTATGGAAAATTCCAGTGAGTTCCGGGACACCCTGTATATCGCATAGTTTCCTATCTCGTATCAATGTAACAAATTCTATCTTGGGTATTACAGGCTAAACAAATATAGCAAATCCCGAAATAAAACGAGGCATTGTGTCAATTTATTTCTTCGGTTTTAATAAGTTCTTTATTTCATCAAATTCCCCCTGGGTGTCTATTGTTATTGAGTAGCTCTCAATTCAGAAACAATATTTTTAACTCCGCAGTTGTTTAGTTTTTAAAG